CTAGTAACGATTGGTTTTATTTAAAAATAATAAAGGAAGTATGATACTTATTAATGGAGTACCAATAGTTTATTTTTGCAGAGAAAACATTCCCAAACAGCTCAAAATCATCCCCAACAGCTAGAAACAACCACAAACACATTTCAACATATAAATACAAGTTCAAGCACTTGAAAAATGGATAGAAAACCTATCCAAGCAAGCAAACACAAGAGAAGAACTTTTCACTCTTTATTTTTTTCTCTTGTAAATAGTTGTGTTTTTGTGAGCTTAATTTTGTAAACACCTACCTTCGAGAGTTTTTTTTGTTTACTTCTTTTATCCTTTTGTAAAGGAGTTTTGGTTCTAGCTAAGCCTTTGAAAAGCTACAAAGTTTGTAAATGTTATCTCTTTGTCCTTGAAAAAGAAAGAACAAATTAGTAGATTTGTTGGAAAATCCTAAGTGATAAGCTTAAATAGTGGATGTAGACTTTTGTTCAAAAAGTTGAACCACTATAAATCTGTGTGCATCATTTTTCTATCCCATTAAATCTCTCTACTCCCTAAATTTCCAAAAAAAAAATCAATTCACCCCCTCTTGGCAATATTTTCATTTGTCTAATTGAGCTTCATAAATCTCAACAATTGGTATCAAAGCTTGACTCTTTAGAAGGTCTAATAACCTTGAGACGATCCTTGAAGGAGCTCTATCGATTTTCAACACAACCGACAATAAAATGGTTTCGACCTCTGACTCTTACTATATTGAAGACTCTCAACCGATTAACAAGCCACCTTATTTCAATAGAGCAAATTATGTCTATTGAAAGAATAAGATGATGCTCTTTATTCAAGCTAACGATCTAGGAGCATGTAACTCAATCATGAAGGGATACCCCATTCCAACCAATGAGATGGATGATTGGAGTGATAGGGAGAAGAATAAGTTTCAACTCAATGCAAAGGCTATGCACATCCTCTTTTGTGCATTAGAACCGGATGAATATGGAAGAGTCTCCTCTTGTTCTAATGCCAAGGAGATTTGGGACAAGCTTCAAGTCACTCATGAAGGAACCGATAAAGTGAGAGAAACCAAAATCAGTCTTCTCAATCATAGCTATGAGAATTTCAAGATGAAACCGGATAAAGACATCAAAGCTATGAAGGATAGATTTTCCGTGATTGTCAAGTGTCAACGGTCTCAAGGGATTTGGAGAAGTAATCCCTAATGAGAAGCTTGTGAAGAAGATGATCTACTCTCTTCCAGAGTATTGGCAATTGAAGAAGACGACGATTATCGAAGCGAAGAACATAAAGACTCTCACTCTTGATGAGTTCATTGGTTCTCTTCTCACTCATGAGTTGATGGTAAAGGAAGAAGAAAAAGATGAAGAAAAGAAAAAATAAGAAGAATGATGTAAATATTACCTTCAAATCCACCATTCAAATCCACCAATGAGAACAATCAACAAGTGAAGAGATGGATGAAGACGATGATGAAAAAGAAGAGATTGCCAAGCTCTTCAAAAGATTCAAAATATTCATGACTTCTAAGAAAGTGAAACATGAATCGAGCATAAAGAAGAGTCCCCCAGTATGCTTCAATTGTCAAAGAAATGGGCATGTCAAGTATGATTGTCCCCTCCTAAGAAGAATGGATCAAGTAAAAAGAAGACATTTATGGCAGCTTGGAGTGATGAAGATGACTCTAATTATGAAAGAAGTAGCCAACCTTTGTCTCATAGCCATTGAAGAAGATTCAAAGGTATCTTCTAACTCAATTGAATTAAATTCATATTCTTTTGATGAGTTACAAGATGCTTATAATGAGTTGTATTTGGAATTTGAGACCGTGAATTCCAAATATAAGAAATTAATTTCAAAATTTAAAGTTGAAAATGATTTGATTTTGAAAGCAAAAGTTGATTTTGAAAAACAAAATGAAATTTTGAAAAATGATTTAGAGTTTTCAAAAATCAAGATCAATGATTTAGAAAAAGAAAATTTTGATTTGAAAGTTAAGCTTGAGAGCTTAACAAAAGAAAAAGAATTAATTTCTAAAAACAACTCATTGTGTTTAAAAATGGCAAAATGCTCACATTGTCATTTGGAACATATTTGTCCCATAATGAAAAGAAAATCTTTTAAAATTAGACAAGTATGAGTTCCTAAGGGAACAAGGGGCATTGAAATTAATGTTCAAGGATCCAAAGCAATTTGAATACCAAAATCAAAATAAATGTCTCTTGTAGGTGTGTGGGAGCAATGGTGATGAGAGTGAAGATATTCAAAATTCAAATGCTCTAGCCACACTTTAAAAAGAATGGGTAACCTCTAAGCTTAATGCTTTTATTTTGATTAATTGGTTACTCATTTAGTTTTATGCATGCCTGAGTTTTGATCTTAAATGATTATGTTTTGTTTTTCATCTCATTTATGTTGAAAAGTTTTCAATTTTTCAAATGCTTTGATTTTACAAATTTTAAATTTTTGATCTTAATTTAAATGTTTATGCAAATAATTTATTGTAAATGACATCTCTTTAACAATTGATACCAATCTTTCAAATGCATAACATTGTTGGAAAGCTTTATACACATGCACTCAAGCTCAATATTTGGTATTGCATAAAGTATTTTAGACTTGGATAAATTGACTTTCATGTGTTACTAACATATTTGTTCATTTTTGTTGAAATTCAATTTCTTTTAAGTGTCATGCTCTTTAAAGTCAAATGTTTGTTTGGAATGCATTTATTGAGGGAAACTTTGATTTTTCAAATGATTTTAATGTTAAAATTACTACTTACTCTCTATTGTTGTTTTGTACCTTTAAAAATTGAATTATTTTTTATATAACAAAAAGGGGGAGAAGTATAAGTTTGAAAAATTCAATTTCAAGAATAAAAAAGGGGGAGCTTTAATATTTTCCAAAATATGTCTCTTTTTCATGAAATGTTTTATTAAGGGGAAGTTTTGCCAAAAACATTTTTTTTCAAATGTTTTGTTATATTAAAAAGAGAGAGATTGTTGAACCATGTTTTATAATATTTTGATATAACAAATTAAGGCAAAATGTTTTTAGGCTTGAATTGATTTTGTTCAAAGTTTTCAAAAATAATTCAAAGTCTATTAAACTTGGAATTAAGCACAAAACAATTTTCTGGACAAGAAGTATCGATATTGTTCTTACAGTATCGATACTGCATGAACATTACCGATACCAAGGGTAAGAGAAGTATTGATACTCTCTAGGTAGTATCGATACTACCGGCTTGCTTAAATTCCAGAATGCAAAATAGGTACCGATACCCAAAGGGGTACCGTTACTACTTTACATAATAGTATCAATACCATGGTTACAATATCGATATCGTCAGGTCCAACTGCTAGTAACGGTTAGTTTTATTTAAAAATAATAAAGGAAGTATTGATACTCATTAATGGAGTACTGATACTCCCTGTCCTAGGCAGTTTATTTTTGCAGAGAAAACATCCCTAAACGACTAGAAATCATCTCCAACGGCTAGAAACAATCACAAACACATTACAACATATAAATACAAGTTCAAGACACTTGAAGAAAGGTTAGAACACATATTCAAGCAAACAAACACAAAAGAAGAGTTTTTCACTCTTTATTTTCTTTTTCCTGTAAATAGTTGTGTTTTTGTGAGCTTAATTTTGTAAACAACTACATTTGAGAGGTTTTATTGTTTACTTCTTTTATGATTTTGTAAATGAGTTTTGGTTCTAGTTAAACCTTTAAAAAGCTAGAGAGTATGTAAATGTTATCTCTTTGTCCTTGAAAAATAAAGAACAAATTAGTGATTGTTGGAAAATCCTAAGTGATGAGCTTAGGTAGTAAATGTAGACTTTGGTTGAGAAAGTCGAACCACTATAAATCCGTGTACATAATTTTTCTATCCCTTTAAATCTCCTTACTCTCTAAATTTTCAAAAAAAACTGATTCACCCTCTCTTAACAATATTTTTAGTTGTCCAATTGAACTTCGTAAATCCCAACATCACCCTTACTTAAACTTTTGTGTAATACATTTTTGACAAGCCAAACACCAATCAATTCAAATAGGAGTTCGGTTTTTTATTTTGTCTTTTGTTTGGGAAATGCCACGATCAAGAAGGAAATCTTAGAGTAAACATTTTTTTCAACTTTCCATCTTTGAATAAAGTGTTTGTTTAAATCGGCGCATTTTCTTTTTAATTTCATGTTTTTTTTCATTAAAGGTTAGAACTTTGAAGGTTGAATGTAAGGGAAGATTGGAACACGACAATCCCAAAGGACATATTCCCATCAAATATAAGTCCCAACTATTTCCCCCTCATTATCTTCTGTGGGGCTAAGCTTGTCTTTGCCTTTTTCTGAAAAATTAAATTTGACTCTATTATTTACCTAATTCAATTGCCATACCATAAAATAATTAATGGATCTCTTGGGATTTAAAAATACTATTAAATATATTATAGATATAATATTTAAATACATGTAATATCATTTAAATATTAAATCAATATATATTCATAATAATTAAGTATTTAATGAAAAAATGTTTTAAATATAATATTATTTTAATTTAAAAAAAATTATTGATAATAATCTTTTCCTTAACAAGAGTGAAGAAAAGAAATCAATTCATTGTAAATAACTAATATTTTTTATGGGACCGTTTTTTTTTCCAATTTAATAACGGAAATGAGCTAAGCCTATAATAATTATCAATAATTAAGAGAGAGATAATTTAGGAAGACTCAAAGAGTCTCCGATGTTGTGGACCACCACCAGTTCGGAGAAGAAAGGGAGGGTGGCGCGTGGGCCCACAGTCGTTCATCGGGATTCACCCACGGGTGGGCAAATTTTCTTTAAAGTCACACTGGGTTGGTCCACATTTATAGCCTAATCCCTTCCCTCACCCCGCCCCCGCTTTTTTTTTTAACCGTCCGATCTAATGAATATATAACACCAACTTCAACCTTCTAACTCTCATCACTCTCGCTCCCAAACAAAAAAATAAAATAAAATTGCTTGGCCTCGTCTTATTTTCCACCACTGGATTGCTCCTTCTTCTTTGGATTAATTTTTTAAAAGGATCTGATATTTTTTTGAAGAAGGAACAGATTAGGTGATTGCTTTTGCTTATTTGTTCTGAATCTGAGGTGATTCTTTGCTTTGCTTAGAATCTACGTTTGAGTTTTAAGTTTTGTTATTTCTTCTCGGTGTTCGGGATTTTCGCCGACCTTCTTCTAATTCTGTAATCGGCATCTTTTTAGAGATCGGCGAGGTTTTCAAGATTTACGTCTCTTTCTTCAACCGGCATTGGTTTCGTTTCTGCCTGGTAATGAATGGCTCTCTCTCTCTCTCACTATTTTCTTTGATTAATTTCGCTTTTATGTTTTCGTTTTTATTTTTTTCTCGTTAGTTAATTAGTGCTGTGTTTGGTTGCTGGGAAACAAGAAGGAAATAAAAGTAAAAAGACTGAAAAGTACATAAATAATTTGTTTTATAAGTTATTTTGTTCTTTTCATTTTGTTTCGATTGAAATTTGTAATCGATGATTGCTTTTATCTCAACACTACAAAAATGTGAATTTCTGAAATTCTCAAAAGAGGCTGTATTCGGTTATTATTGATTAGGATTCTTTACGGATCTGTGAAATTCTTTTGTTTTGGACTTGAATCAAGTGAAGCTGTATTTGATCTTGGAGAATGAATTTTTCATCAGAGCTTTATAATGTCTGTAGGTTTAGATACAGAAATCAAAACATTATTAAGAATTTACTATCTTTCTTGTTTCTTTTCTATGGACTGTAGTTCATTTGATTACTAGACATAGAGATGAACATGGTTTACGTGAGAAGAAAAAGACAATAACTTTGGAACTTTTACAATGGTAAATGAATGTGATAACTAGGTTTTTTGTTGGAAATAACCCTAGTAATTTTTATCGATCGGTTGCCTAATATTACTTTTACTCTCTTTGGGTGTAAATTTCATTGTTATGCCTTTGCTCCTTTGATTTTGTGTTGGTGTTTTTCCAGAGGGAAATGAACTTTTATGTGGGCAAATAAAAATGATGAGCTTGGATATGTTGGCCACTGATGATTAGGAAAAGTTTTAAAGAGGAAATTTGGCATGTTATGATAATCTGGCTTTTAAAAATAGCAATAATTTATTACATTATGTCCATATATAAATATTCATCCATAAGTTCAATCAAATTGGTGAAAAGCTGATGTGAGAAACTTAGCTTTGGACTTTTGCAGCTAAGATGGATTGGTGAAGCAAAAGAAATCATTGACATCCGAAAGAAGAAAAGCTAATGAATAATTAGAAAGTTTGAAGGATATGGGATTTGGTTCAAATTCAGAGAGGAGTTCAAACCCACAGCAAAGTTCAAGGACTGGGAAAGAGAAAGCTCACTTGCCACATGCAGACCTGAGGTTAAAGAATCAAGGCAAGTTAAATGTAAAAAATGATCCGTATGGTATTTTGCCGGGTGAAATAATGAACAATCGGATTCAAAGCACCTTGGTTGAAACGAAACCTTTTGGGGATTGCAAAGGGCAGCCTCTCAAGCGCAAGCCAACAAAAGAAGATGAGCTTGTTAGGTACATGTCAAACTTGCCGGGTTACCTACAGCGGGTAGACAGTTCAGATAACCTTCAAGAGAAGGCATTGAATGTCGGTGTTCTGGATTGGGCACGTCTAGAAAAATGGAAGTACCACCAAAAGCATATGCCAACAACTACTGGAAATAATGTATCGAGAACCAATGCCAAATCTTCTGCCTTTTCTAATGATGTTCCCAAGGTTGCCTCTGCCAATAAAGGTATGCTACGCTCTTCAACATGTTCAAGTCTTACCCCATCTCAAAAGGATGACATTCTCGAGGTGCAAAACCATCTATTCCAAAGGTTAGGCACTATCAAGATATTGAAACTGCTTCCAAGAGCACCTTGGATCGGCAGAAGAAGACACCCAAGACATATAAATCCTTTGACAAAATTAATTCAGATGCAATTCTTCAGAAGGGGAAGAGAAAAGAATTAGATCAGAAAATCACTTCAGAAATGGATAATATGCCGTCAAACATGAGAAATCATGGAGTCTCACCTCTACCAAAGGAAAATGCAAGTGTTTGCGATGGTGGAGCAAAAACAAGAGTAGAGCAAAAGTGGAAAACTGATGTGAATAAGAAGGATTTGGATGATAAAACTACTTCAGATATGGAGGCTTCTTCATCCAAATCAAGAAACAATGCAGTTTCACTGGGTTCCAGCAAAATGCTCGGAGCTGAAGCAACAAAACTAAGAACAAAGATGCTGAGGAATCTGAAATGATCTTCTTCCAACTTCTGCCCGAAACAACTTTTTTGAAGAACCCACGATGGGACTTCGAATGAAGCAAAACTAATAGCTCTTCCTATGACCTGCTTCAGAAGGATCATTTTTGGGAACTATGTTCTGACGCTCCTCATTCTTGTACATTTCCTTCTGGAGTTGAGTTCAATCCTGAAACTGACATGATGGAACAGAGTCTGGATTTTCCGTCTGATGTGACTAGTGGGCCTTTGTTCTCAGATAACACTGGAAATATAAGGTCTCAAGGCAAGCATTCAGCAGAGAACAAGACTAAGTCTCAAGATACTGATTTTGAAACTTTGAAGATACTGGAAGAAGAAATGGCTGAGCTGGCAACTGAAAGAAGCAGAACTAACTCACCAAATCGCCGTTTTAGTTTCAGCTTGAGTCGTATTGGTAGAAGTTTCAGTTTTAAGGAAAGTTCTGCAGTCCCACAATTGAGCTCTGATTATGTTTCTGTGAGGTCCGGTCCAGTGAGGTCTGATTCTTCTGGTTTTCTGGATGATGCGCACATAGAGAAGCTGAATGGCTATCATAGAACTAGGTCCAGCCCTTTCAGAAGAGTGTTGGATCCACTACTAAAGTCCAAGGGCTTAAATTCCTTTCGATCCACTGACACTGTTCAGCCATCGAAGGGAAGCTTAAACTCCTCTACTCCACGGCCACTTGATGCAAATGAATCCTTTCAGGAAGAAAAGTTGGGGTCATCAATGACTAAAGCTCTTCTAGAGGTTGCAATGAAGAATGGACGCCCACTGTTCAGATTTGTTGTCACCAATGGTAGCAACATGCTCGCAACAACCGTGAAAAGTCTAGCATCATCTGACAAGGTGGGATCTAATCAGACGTATTCTCTTCGGTTAGTGAAATTAAGAAAAGAGTGGCAGTGGATAAGTAAAGGAAGCAAGGAAAAAATTGTGGTTACATCTATAAATCATTGGGCAAATGAAGATTTCTGACACTCGTATTTCAGATTTGACTGCAGAAGACTCTTGCGATTATCATCTGGTAAGAGAATCTGTTCTGTTCGGTGTGGAGCAAAGACAAGCTGATCAAGCATTGGTGAAGTTTACACCAAGTACGAGCTTGCTGCTGTTATCATCAAAATACTGGTGAAAGCAATTCACAGAAAGCTGATAAAGATGGATTCCCGTGCAACTTCATGAAAATTCGAGCTTCAAAGTACTACCGTCTTACTTTCTGGTGGAGTCCATAGCATGCCAAACAAAGGAATACCTTCCCCATTGATTGACAGATGGGATTTGGTGGATTATGTGACTGTGGAGGTTGGGATGTTGGTTGCAATTACACATTTCTCCGACCAAAACAGTAGATGCTGTAAGAATTCAAGGCCGCATCAAGCATGCCCTGACCGTCTTGAACTTTATCCACAGGTATCCTCTTTCTATTGTATTATTAGTTCTCCACTTTGTTATAATGTCGTCCGGCTATCTAAGTTCTTGTTTTGTACTTGATGCAGGGAGAAGCACAACAAAAACATGCCTATCTTCAGCTGGTTCCATACAAAAAGGGAATTTATGCAATTAAGTCAGTTCACCAATCACTGCGTTGCAAGCGTTCTTTATTGCCGTAACAGTTATAAGTTGTTGGAAATCCTCTGATTTTCCAGAATTCAACCTAAAGGAAACAATGTTGGATGGAAGCCTTGGGACGGACACCAAACCAACCATTTTCGTCGGAGCCATGCCTGCAAAATATGCGCCTAACCCCCCTCATTCACCCGTTGGGCGGGCATAGTTAATAGTTTCGCACATGGTGACCTGCTTCAATTTTCAGGTAGAGTTATAAAAAGTATCGAAGAGTGCTAAAACTCTCATATATATACAAGGAATTGGATTGGGGGTATAGGCTTGTTCAACATGGTTAATCGTATTGATTTTGTAAGAGTTGCACATTACGAATAGAGATCACTTGTATAAAGGAAATAATAATGGTAAATACCATTCACTGTTATAATCAAGTGTTTACTTTTTAAAATCAAGAACAGCATGGTACTATATGTTAGCATAAACTTTGTAGTAATATGCCCAAGAAAACATACATAAAATGCCATAAAATTTTGTTAACAAGCTGAATCAAACTGAGAACAACGTTAGAGGAAGACTTGATTTAATAGAACATCCAACCATATTGATGGGAGAAAACCAGACTCCAAAAAGGAATAAAAGCCGAAAAGAATACACACAAGGATGCTGATAAAGTGAACTATGCTTTCAAATGTAAGCTTGGGAAGCATGGTGAATGCATACGTACCATTGACCATTGATCCTTTCGAACACGTTTGTGACGAAATGTGCTCCTCAATTGTTACCTTTTGTTGTCTTGACGAATTCCATGCATGTAACATACCCGGAATCTCCTTTAACGTGAATCCGGACATTTTTCAGTTCTATCTCCACGGGAAATTCAAGGTTCATCCACACGATCTCCCAGCTTTCCATTACGAAATCATAACCGGATATCCCATTTGCAGCTGGGTGCACACAACAAACATCATCTCCTTTCACCCAAAGGTTCTGCATCGTGGCTAAATCCCCTCTCCTAAAAGCATCATAAATTCAGAGAATTTGCTGCCACTATCGAAGCCTTACTATCCACGTGTAGGACTCGGAGGTCATCCCTGATTTTTGCTGCTTCAGCATAGTTTTGTTCCTCAATGGCAGTCTGTAGGTCCCTCTGCAAGGTTTGTTCATCTGATATGATGCTTTCAACACTTGTATTACCCCCAATGTCATCAGGTTTGGCTTGAAAAGGCATCGACGGCAGCATATGCAGATTTCGTCTGAAGGGTGCTGCACTAAATTAATCAGCAGTTAGAACTGTGTGAAACTCAAATCCCAACAAGGAAAATATATAGGTGATATGTGAAGAAACCTAAAGAAAAGGTAATTTTCATTCAACAAAATTCATATTGAAGAACTCAGCAGAAGGTAATCAGTTAGATTGAAAAAAAGAAAACTCTGCTTTTCAAGTTCAAGTACTCAACAGCAACTAAAGCTTTAGCAACAAAGATATGTAGAGGTAGGAGAAAATTGAACTTACGTTGTAGCAAAAGCTAGATCCTTGGAATGCCATGAAAGTGAAACCCAGGGTTACTTAACAGGAGGGGGTTTGAAGGTGTAAAAAAGGGGTTTTCTCTATCTCGAATAAGATAAAGACAGGCGTGAGGCTGAGGAGGCAGAAAGTGGGAGATTTTGATAGCCGAGAGCATTTCATGGAAAAAATTTTAAGTTGTCTTCGAACATGACATGGGCTCCCTCAGTTTACACTACAAATATATGCTAGGAAAATAATTTCAATGACCAAAAATGCCTTATAATATACGATTTTAACTAATTCTTTTTAGATTTACCAAAATGACCAACTAAATCGCAATGCGATCGATAATTCGCAACGCGTTCTCCGGTATCGCAAATCAGTTTCCAGATTCGCAACACGATTCTGACTATCGCATTGCGATTTCCCAAATTCGCGTTGCGATTTTCCTAATTCACAATGCGAATACGTAAATCGCAACGCGATTAAGTAAATCACAATGCGAATTAGGAAAATCGCAATGCGAATACGTAAATCGCAATGCGAATCTGACTATCGCAATGCGATTTACATAACGCCATTCGTATTAACGCGTATTTTTTTTTCAAATTCCAAACACGAATTTTTTTCTTAATATATCGAAAACCGAACCGCCCACAGTAATCACAACTCATAACATCAAACCTAAAATCACAACACTTAGTCCCATCTCCATCTCTCACTCTCTACGGCGAAATCCGTCCCCATCTCCGAAGATTTCCGTCCCCATCGCCGGTGAAATCCCTCACAACCATTCACGGTCAGAAATCCCTCACAATCATTCAGAAATGGAAAATCAACATCCGATGGTTAGTTTTTTTAATTTTTATTTTGAAAATTTTGCATTATTTTAGGATTTTCATATTGAAATTGATGATAAGTTTACTGGTAATTTCAATAATAGATTAACCATTTCACTTAGATTTCTTATTAAATTCATTCGATTGCTGCCAATACTGCTAAACTGTTTAGTATTTAACCCTGTGAAGTTAGTATTTATCTTTATTTTGTCTTTTGGTTGAAGTAATGCAGAAGAAGAATAGTTTCGAGAAAGAAAATCGCAACGCGGAAATGACTATCGCAACGAGAGAATCGCAACGCGAAACCAAAATCGCATTGCGATTTTCATTTCGCGTTGCGATTTTCATTTCGCGTTGCGATTCTCTCGTTGCGATAGTCATTTCCACGTTGCGATTTTCATTCTCTCGTTGCGATTTTCATTTCAACCAAAAGACAAAACAGTGTTGCAAATTTTAGTTTCAAGAATAAACTACTATTTATGTTATTTTTTGGTATATCTTCACAGTGTAGTTTTTGGTATATCTTTGGTATGTTTATGTTTTTGTAGAAATTTTTTTCGGCTTCATTGACATTAAGGAATAAAGTTAGCCTAGCCACTACAATTGCTTCGAAGCTTTCACCCAAAAGAAAATTGTTGAGGAAACCTGCTTCGGGCCATGGCTGAGAGTACAGCATCCGGGTGGAGATGCTAATTTGACCCATTTGTGGCTTCAGACCATGACTAGCGATCTACCCGACAGTATACGTGGTGAGGAAGAGATATGATTTCATTTTCCACCGGCGTATACTTGTTTTGGGCGG